GGCGAGGAATTCGTTCGCGTCTTTCAGCTCGCTGGAATTCACCACCATCCACGGGTCTGGAGTGCCGTTCGAGCCCTCACGATTTCTTTCTGAATTCAGGGCGCGAACACGCACACCAGAAAGGGTGGGTGGTTGGTTGGGTTTGGAGGACGGCTCGAAGCGGACTACGTACAGTAGTTTCAGATTGTTCCCGGGATAAGGGTGGCCACCCTCCGCTCGGACTTACAACCGAACACGCAGTTAGCATGCTAAGCAGAATTACATCGTGTTAGTCCAGTTTATATCTCGTAATATTCCCGGTGGCGGGCTGCATTGTCGGAGAGCGCGGACTGCTCGGCGGAAAGGACGCGTCGATGAAAACGCCGCTTGCACACGAACCAACCCCCTCCTACCATCGATTGTTCGGTAGGGATGAAACAGTGCCGAGGCCGAATAGTTTGGCCCACGGTGACGAAGTGGGAACATTCTGTGACCTGGCCCCGAATCCGAATCGCTTGTTACCATTTCGTATACTGTCGTGCCGCACTTGGTCTCGGACGGATACGAAACCGGGGGATTAACCGATGATGTAGTTGTTTGCTCTGCGTTGTCGACCTGGAGTTTCGCGAACGTTGAGCGTACCTTAATTACCGAAATTTTTCAGAAGGATGGCGTGGATGCACCGCGATTACGCGGGCAACGTGGTCATTTCTGGCGAACAACGGTTTTGGTAATTCGTGAGATTTACCATCGGTACATCTGAATGTACGTAACTCTGGAGAAAAAAAGAGGCAATTACTTTCGCGGGATTTGTCCGAGTGGGCAAAATTCTATTGCGCCGTTTAATCGATTTTGGCTTTCAGAGGTCGCGGAAATGAAATGAAAATTAAGAATGTCGAAAGTGTACTGAACGCTTCGTTTTCCAGTTATTAACCCTCAAGGACACGGACGGCATATTTCGTACTTCGTTACTACAGAGATACCTTCTATTTATCGAAATTTTTTTATTCCAAAAATTGTTTTCCTTCGTCCCAATAATCTACGATTGGAAATGGAAAATTATTAGAGAACTATATACTGAAAAATAAACAAAAACCTGGTGCTGACTTTTGAAATTACGAAACAAAGGAATGACGCCTGAGACCAGGTAATCTGCGTACAAGCGGTCATAGCGGGCACTGAAAAAAATATACCCTGAATTCGTAGCGAAACACGTGCTATGTACCTTTCGAAGTACCTACGGATAAACAGTATACCTAGATTATGTCGTATCGCCCGCTGTTTTCGGCCAATTGACCGCCTCGTCTTCGCTTGCCCTTCCAGAGTTTCCTTAGTTGAATGTCGATGTTCAACGCAAACACATCTAATCACCGCGAAGGAACTCTCGAAAAATAGCATCTTTGTATTCATTTAATTCATTATAGTTTATTATCGTGAGTTTTAGTTTAGTTTATGTGCGTTTATTTAATGTTTATTCTGTGTGTGTGTGTGTGCCCTCTGGTCCCCCATATGGATTTGAACAAGTAACCAGGTAATGTGTTTTCTTTATGAAATGTAAAAAAGAAAAATAGACCGGGCTCAATTTCGCGATTCTGGATTTTCGTCCCGAAAGCGGCTTTTATTTTCGGAATAATTGATACGGTACAGAAATTCTAAACAATTACATATATATTAAATACAGTTCAGAGAGATGAAAGTTTCCGAAATATGTACATATGTAAAAGGTTTCCCGTACATCCAACTCTTCCGCAGACTTTCGAAGATCTTTCGGGCATCAATTATTCGTGCGTCAGCAGCTTTGGAAAATGTTTGGTGTACGTAAACGTGCGCGTATCGCTAAACCAAACCCCGGCGTCGCATTTCAAAATTAAGTTCATCCTCGAATCCAGGAAAGTTTCGTCCATATCTCCGACATTTTCCACCTCTCTTACTTTCGAAGCCGGCCTTTTAAGAAAATCTTCTCAGAAATACATCCCCCAACCCCTACCCCGCCTCCCATCCGTTTTATCAAGAAACACGATCTCAAAAGAAGTTCGCGAAACTTTGAAACGAACCGACAGGAAACGCTCCTTTTGTTTCCTGCAAAATCGTCCTTCCGGAGACGACAGCTTTTGTTTTCAGACACCTCCAAAGAATACAATAAACCAGTCACCCTTCTATCAGCCGCGTGGAACTCCCTGCTATCGTCCGCAGAGGCTCCCCCAAATGGAGGAACGCCTCAAAGTACGCTTAACTAACGAAACCAACGGAAAATTCGAGAAACATCAATGTTCTTTTCACCGTTCTTTTCTTTACCATCTTTGGAAGTATAGACCGAAACTGACGTCAAACAGGCGAGCATTTTTTGGTTTTAAAATTCGTTGAAGCTACCCAGGGCGATTTCCTCGCGAGTCATTGACGGAACCATTCTACCATTTTGGGAACTATAAGAAGAATGTAACAGAGACAATCTTTTCGATCCAGGTACACGGATAGGTTGTCTGAGACGAGCCAATATCGTACCTCCGCGAAGACACGTCCCAGAAATAAAGTGATTCGAGCCGCGATCGAGCAAGGGTGGTAGGGGGATGGTTACGTACTTCTCGTTTACCGTCTGCGATCAAACTGTGGAGCGCGGCTTTATGAATATGTAAAGTCTGTTAGAGGCGTTCCACGGCACACGAGACTGTTTGCACGTCGTATCAAATATTGACAGTGCTCCGGCAAATTTATTCACCGGCTGAAATAATGTATCGTGCACGCCCGATAAAATCGAATGTATGTCCCGCCCGCCCCTCGACGCCTAGACGCATCCCAGGGAAAACGTGGCACGGCTGTCGGGGACACGGTGAATTTATTGTCTACCGATCGCCATGTCGCCACCGAAAATTTTCGTTGCTAGTAAATTTGCACAACGATTAAATTCCACCCTGGGTGGCCCTCACGACCCCAGTGTCGCGACGATAACGCGCGTCTTAGAATCCACGCGGTTCCAGCTCTGCGTCGACGAATCCCTCGTGTCGACGAGGTCGACGCCCTGAGTGATCGAGAACCCAAATTGATGAAACGGCGAGAAAATGAGGGCGATAAATAATTTCTGTTAATATTTAATAATCAGTAACAAGAGCTTCGATGGTGATCTAAAAGTGAAATTCGATCATTGTCCACGATCTGTACTCACGTTTCCTTTGGCAACAGACGATAGAAGATTAGAAACTATGAGTTAGAAAGAAACCCTACCACTCTCGTGACTTTCTTTTACGATCGGAAATAGGCGACGAAAAAGAGCCTGTAGGGCCCAATAAGACGCGAGACGAAATTGGGCAAGGGGGACGTGTGTTTCCCGAGAGAAGACTCTCGCAGTTCTATACAACGTATTTCGATAGCGTGCACGCGGTACACGGTGCTGCAGAATGTTAGAGGGAGAAACCTTGCGAACGGAATAAAAGGGAACGGTGGCGATTCTAAGGGGTAGGATAGAAGAGACGGTAGGAACTAGATCAAAGGAAGGCTCGAGCAACTGGAGAAGCAATCAGAGGGAAATATACAGTTGCGTGGGAGGAGGGAGAGAATAAAAGTGGAAGCCAGGCTCGGAGCTAACTAGAAAATAAGCATTGAGAAATGGGCAATTACAGATATGAAAGATAAGTTATCACAGGGACCTTTATTTCATTAGAGATTCTTATTCTTATTCAGATGAAAATGGCTCTATAAGGTTCGCTTTCCGCCTCGTCCCCCAGGTCGTCGGGATCTTTCTTGTTTGCCTCCAGTTTTCCGCTTTTACAAAAATGAACCGTTTGCGTAATTATTCGTAAAGTGTTGCCTTATCTTCCTACCAAGAAAGAAAAAGGAAAGTATATACAGAAAGAAGACTCGTGTCATTCGTGCCGGTCGTTGATTGCACGGTGGTCTTGTCTTATTAAGAACCATATTCTTTCTACGAAGTGAAATTGATAAGTTAATAAAGCGAAGCTGAGAATCCGGAAAAGGGACTGAATTAAATATTTAATCAAGTCGGCTTCTGGTCTACACCTTCTCGACGCAGAAAGTTTTATTCGCGAAGTCACGATCGCACAGACGGGGGAAGTGTGGTAGTAACCTGACTTACGACTGAATTTCTGTTCTTCAAACGACGAGATAGGCAGGGGGAGTCGAAGATAAGTGTAATAATGAAATGAGCAAGACAGAAAATCTTGACTTCTACATAAGGTGTTAAAAAAAATGTGACACTTTCGTAGGGTGGATTCTACATGGGAAATTGAGATGAAATTGCGTTTGAGACTTTGTTATCGAATTATTAATTGTTAAATATATGGGTCTGATCGCGTTGGGTTATAGGGTAAATGCACCAATGAATGAACACTTAGAGATTTTATAGCTATTAAAGTCGACTTTTAAATGATAATAATATTAATAGATATTTAGTGCATGAAAATTAGATTTTTTAATATCTATACCTTTTTATACCGTAGAGATTTCAATTTCACAAATTGGAAAAATGTAATTAATTAAATTAAAAATAAAGAATACATATTCCACCAATCAATGAACGATATTAAGTAAATCAACATTTCTAACCAGTGACGCGAAAATTGTTTCAATATCAAACATAGAATTGTAAACGAACAACATTTCAACATTTGCTTATTTTAATAATTAAATTTACTCGTTTTTATGTACGTTCATTCACTGATCCGTGTTTATTTAGTGGTGCGTTTAACGTACAACTCAAACAGCCAATTCGCAGCTGATACACAGCCGCGATCGATGACCTAATGAACCGAACGAAATAAAATGAAATGAATGAGGGAAGCTCGTGAAACAGCTGAAGACTCTGCCTCTCAGGTAGAATAACCCCTCGCGCCAGACGTAATTTCACCTGTATTTTTCAGCAATTAATAATTCAGAAGCCAAGACCTCGAATACAATTTTCATCTTCATTTAACATGGTAGAATCCATCCTCTGTGAAAGTGTTCCACATTTTTGTCAACACCCTGTACAATCGCGTGAACAGTCTCGCACAAATGACCGTTGAAAAGGAATGGTTCATGGGGTGCTATTCGTTCTAAACCGTGAGTACCACCCGGCGAAAACAGACCCAAATCAAATACATTTCCACTCTTCTTTTCCCTTTTCCCTTCTGTTTACCGTACACCACGGCGAAAGTAAATAGGCTGGCATCGTATGAACAGCGCCTAGCTCGCAGATGGGATGGTTTGGGGGGCGTTTGTAACGCGTGATTTGTTGAATTATGACCGAGGGCCAGTGGCGGCGATCATGCTCGCGCGTGTTCCGGCTCCGTATTAGCATACTAAATCCGATTGACGTACTCCGTTCGCAACGACGAGCCCTCTCCCCGTTTTAATTAGCTCGAACGCGATACGTCGTCGTGTGTCGCCGGATAATCCACGGGCATAGAAGTTCCTTTCGAAGGATTTCCATCGGTCGATCAAACGGTGCCTTTGCGCTTTTCCCATTCCGTGGATCATTCGACAGACTGCCGATTTCCCTCTCGACGGTAATAACGCGACTCGTGGACATTCTACCGTTTCGGAACGGGGGAACATTAAAAGGACAACCGATACGCCATTATTATAGCAACAGAGAGAGATAGAGAGAGGAAGATCGTTTTCGTTTGCAGAATCGGCGTTGCCGATGTCGGTGAACGACCCACGCACGCAATTTAGCTACTCACGGGCGCGACGGTGGCCTCTAACGAGAGTTCGCGGAGTGCACTGGCGGATCTTTAATGCCGCCAAGGGGCCTCCTCGACCATTAAATCGAAACGACCGAGCTAATGCCACCTGTTTTTACTGCGAACGCTCACGGGAGCTCGAGACGCGGTACCAAGTTCCACGCTTTTCCGATTTCGCTCGAAATTTGAAAGAATCAAAGACCATAGGCGAAATAGCAATTAATTAACCCGTTCAGAGGGAACAGTCTATTGCGAATGATCAATTGATGGATTGTTTCGTGAATGTCAACGATTTTATATCGAAGTATTATCGAACTCTGGATATTATACCGATAGGTTGAGGGAAAATTGCTGATCGCACAAAAAGTATTTAACGTCGTACTCGTCCAGCACGAGAGCCAGCTGAACCGTAAAGCTTCGAGGGTCTTCCTTCGTCTTTTTTAAATTCGTTCGTGCATTGTCGTCCCGAAACACGGGTATAAATCGATTCGTAGCCAGTTGCCTGGTTTGCGAATCGATAGCCACGGGCTTGTCGATGCGCTCCACGTTCCTCGAGTGGCCATTCTTCTCTCGTCGTGGCGGTCGCGGCCGAACGATACCGATAGGTATCTTAATAATGCTCCGACAATCGAAATCATCGTTCCGGGGTCGCGACTCGTATTTAAGGAGAATTTTCCGTCAAGAATATACACTCGATAGCCAGTTCGGCGCTCCAGTTCCGTTTCAATTACCTCCTCGATTGGAATCATTAGCATGGTGGGACAGTGGTAAATCCGCGGGAAGCAAAGAAACGACGACGACGACGACTACGGTTCTTTTCGTTTTTGCTCGGAGAAGGAGGGAGCTCTTATTAAAAGCGAGTTGGTGGGCGGGCCGAGTGGAAAGCGGAAGTCTGCAAAGAAGGCGTTTCGATCTTGAGACACGACGGCAAGCCGCCCATAATGATCAATCACGGAAATGGCGCATATAAAGGGACACTCCATGGAAACGGGGAGGAAAAGAAAGTCAAAGAGGCTTAATAACCACTGTCATAATGCCGCCGCCACCGTTTCTCCTCTCGGACCGCGTCGATAGAACCGTGAAAAATAAATCGACATTCGAGAGGCTCGATAAATCGACACTCACCGGATCAAAGGGGTCGAACCAAAGGGCTAACCGACGAGAAAAGCCTGACCGGTGAAATATTAATTCCCTTCAGAACTATTCATGCCGAAGAGAAAATAATGGAACTGCGTGTAAAACCGATCGCGTGTTTGCCGCGATCGAACTCTGTACACCGGCGGCGGCAACGTACACAGAACGTTTGATAAAAGCTTTTGATACACCTATCGAAATTACAGCAGTGTGTCCCCAATCAGCGAACTTAGAAACACCTGTCCACGTGTATTCGAATATTTACGTTCATTTAATTGATAGTATTGAATCTTAGGAGGTCGACTTAATTTCGAGACACTATAAATCGTCTTGTATTAATCGTGCATACGTGATTTCAAAGTCTGTGTTGCATTCGATGAAATTGTATTCAATCTTAAAAGAGAGATCAGCATAGAGAAAGTTTCAACTGCACCGTGTTACGAAACGAAAGTGCCATTATTGCTCCGCGCAGCCCGAAACTATGGTTCTCGATTACCTAAGACGGCGAAACTTTTCGAGCAGAACGGTACGGCCGTAGAAGATATCCAAACGTGGGAGGGCGCGGTTCGGAGCGGGGGATCGGCGATAATTTGCTACCGAATAGAACAACTATTTCGACGATGCCATACCCCCGAGATACCCAGGAGAACCCGCTGATAATCCTTTATCGCCACGTCAAAACTTTATAGAGGTGACGTCGTTTTTTGAAAAATGACTCCTTAAGGATGCGCGCGACGTGAACTATCAAGTGCCGATCGGTCATCAGAGATAATTTTATTGATTACAGCTGGCACGAGGGACAGCGGCGGTAGGAGATACCCGGTGATCGTGTTCGTGCACGGTGAGAGCTACGAATGGAGCAGCGGCAACCCTTACGACGGCAGCGTGTTGGCAAGCTACGGGGGCGTCGTTGTTGTTACCATAAATTACAGACTCGGCATTTTGGGTGAGTAGATTCTTGTTCTTCGTTTGACAATCGAACAACTAACACGTTCGGGCGCCTTTATTTTTTGATTATTCGAATCTCCTTTTATACGTAATTTATACAGTAATTTCTCCATGATAGCAAGACGGAAAGGTTTTCAGCCCATAAAAAAAAATACGTATCCCTTATTTTTGACTGCTTAACAGACACACGAAGTTCGATCAAAATCGAAGGGGGACAATTCCGTGCCTTCCCTTGTCAGAGCAAAGTTTAACGAAGAGTGTGGATTTGGCCTAGTGTGAATTTTAGTCTGGCTCACTGTGTCAATAGCGTAGTAATAGAGTAGAATAGTTGTATATAGTGCTAGGAATAGCGCATTATTTTCTAGTTAGTCAAATATATTTTAGTTTATATTACACTTCACCCCTTGGTTACCAAAGCCCATTCCAAATCTCACACGGATAATCAAAAGTGTGGCTGAACGAGCCCATAAAAAGGGACTGTACGTTACGGAAAGTGACAATCCAACGCGTTAGCTTCTCCGACTAACGCATATCACAGAGAGCTCCCCATATTCGAGGTTCAATCAAGAAATTCCGCCGGCCGCGTAGTACGACACATGAATTATCCCGCCAAAGAAGGGTGGAAAAGCATCTAAAAGCGAGCCCTCGACGAAGAAAATCCCATTTTCACCCTTTCGAGCAACAGACAATATCCCAGGCGAAGAGGGAGGAAGGGGGAGTCTTAATTTCGATCCCTTGACGAACGCGCGGAGCGAGTTAAACTTTGTCACCCAGTTTCTAGAAATTCAGCCCCGCCCGACCGGGAACGACACAGAAGCCGATCGTTAGCGCTTCGAACCCGGGTGCCTTAATTACGTGCGTAGAGAACTTGGTGTCGGGAAGGGTGCGAACGCAACTACAACCCTCCTCCTACCCCCGATCAGACGAGCGTAGTCATTAGCGTGGCGACTGTGTGTATCCTCCCGGGGAGTCAGGTGAAACTAGTTACTCGTTTCGGTTTGGCTTTCTCCTGTCCGCGAGAGGGAAAAAACACCCGGTCGAGCCGAGGATTATTGCCCGCGAGATTATTCGTTCGCCACGTTTAAACCGACCCTTTTCCGCCGGTGGCTCGGGAATCTGACAGCTGAATCGGTTAAATTTCAACATGATTTTCGCTCGCAGAATCACATTCGAAACATTTCCCACATCCAATCCAATGAAATCGCGTAGATTGATAGGTGTACTTGATCGAAAACGATCATCAAATCCTGTAGACGGCTACGCACTTTTCAGCAAAGAAGCTTCGAAATTTTCGGATATTATCACCCAAGCTCTCTCTATGCTCTGTTCAATAAAAAGAATCGGTACAAATAACCAAAACATTCACGTGCTAAGACTGATTATTAGCTGGCAACTCTGACTCTCTTTCCAAGTCTGAACTGTCATCACTAGACTGCGGATATTTATGCAAATATCAATTTTTACAGATTTATTTCCGAACACTGGAATTAAACAGAAATTTCTTTACGTGAAGCTTCTACGAGGTCTGACATAAAATTAAAACTATACAAGAATTAATTTAACTTCTCGATATACTGAATTTCAGAAGATAAAATCCGCAGTGTAGTCGTCACTTTCCTTTGTTATACTTACGAACTCGACTCATTGAATGATATACATATAGCACCAATAACCACGGATTTTCGTCCACGGCTAAAATCTGATCAGATTCCAGGGAAAAATCACGTCGCAGGTATTCCGATGCAATTGTGCCGTGTATGTAGATAGAGGATTAAAATCGAGAAATATGAAGGGAAAAAAAAACAGGAGGACGTGTTATTTGCCTGCACGGTCCACGGCGAAGGGATTGAAAGTTTCAGTCAGGGGTGGTTGCCTGGCAACCCGGCCAACCAAATCTAATAGGAAACTCATTACGGCCGCCGGGTCTTCCGTTTCACCAAACTAAATTCTTGACTCTGTGCCTTCGCTCTTCTCCCACGTGACAGCGGCTGCCGCTATTCTGTCTGCGCCGGCAATATACGCGCGGTGGCTCGCCCCGGCAGCAGCTTCTTCGGTGCTATGATATATTCGAGTGACGTCAGCGCGATTCTTCGACGTCTCGTGAAGCTTGAAGAGCTGCTCCCTCTCTGCTAAGGGACACGTATTTCTGGAAATGAAACCGACGTTACGCGCGCTCGCGGAAATTAATCGGGGACATTCCACGGAGCCAATTGTCGAACGGAGGTTAAGTTCTTGTAATCAAGGAGCCGAGCGTTCCTAGAAACGTCGAACGGGTGTACCGAGGTTGGAAAAGGGCGGAGCCGAAATTACGAGGGGAAATCTGGTCGTTTGGGATACGGATGATGAATTTCCCCCTTTTTTCCCTTCTTCGGAGATTATTAATTCCTCGTCCATCGTCGCCCTAGTCGAGTTACACGCGACGAGTCTGAACGTTTAGAATTCTTTTCACACTTGACTTAAAAAACGAAATAAATCGTGTCTGACTATGTACGACCTTGTTCACTGTGGCAGTTAAAAAGGTTCCATCCGCGTGTGTTCGTGATCGTTTCGTATTCTGTAATAGAAAATGTTGTAGATGTTATGTAATTTTTACACCCGTGTGTAGACTCGAAGAGGCCGTTTCGTAGTTGTGGCCGGTCGTCGAAACGTAGAATTAAAGGGTATTCGGCACTCGGAGTGGTACCCAGATTTTCAGCCCTCTGAACGTAATTTTCCTAGGAAACAGCTATGCGCCTCGGGCAAATCCGAATTTTTAAGCTAGCCCGCCTGTTAATTTCACATGGAAATGAACTGGAATCCAGTTTCCGGATGTCACGAGAATACGGTCCGCCTCTCTTTTCGTTTTTCTCCCCGCCGCGGATTTTCGTGCCTCGCCTCTTCTCGGCCCGGCTAAAACGATGCAGCTGTACGTGCTCCGCGGCCAGCAATGGTCGCTATAATAAGGTTCCGTTTCTTGAATTACATTCATGACATTTTCTGTAACATCGGGTCCTCTCGTACAAGGTTTACTCGAAATAACGTGCTCCACCGCGTTGCGAAATCTGGATCGCCCGAGTCTTCTCGGGATTTGGCCGGAAATTTCGAATACAACTTATGCATTCGAACGCCAACCGAAGTGATACTAACCTGTGACGGGATAAAACATTTAAGGTCACGAGAAAAGACAATCGAATTCGTTTAACACGATTCATTATGCTGCCACAGTAAAAAGGGCCGTACGTAGTCAGACATGCTTTATTTCATTTTTCAAAAATATACGTTTATTTAATACAGACTGCTTTAATTATACTGCAACGTTAATTTTACGCGAAAATTTCGTAACAGTATTCAAATAACCCAGCCAGTATGCAATGTACGTGTTATCCATATTTGGCTGACGTCGTGGTCAAAGTGTTAAAGGAATGGAAAAGAGAGCAGCAAAGGATTCGCGAAATGTCTTTAGTGACTGGTGACCCAATCGAAGCCGACAGTTGTCGGTCGACCAAAAAATTGGCCCGAATAAGCGTCAAAATGTTACCACGGTCGCGGTCCGCGGGGACCGAAAAAAACGGAGGAACCGGACGAGCGTGGCGGAAGAGGGGTGGAAGGGGATGGTTGGACGGAGGCGTGGAAAATATCGAAATTTGATTCCATCGTTACTCCGTTCAAACGGAAGAGGCTCGGTTTCAGGAAGCACGTTCCTCTCGCGGTCGCAATTTTTCCCAACACCCCCTCAACCCCGCTGTTCATTTTTCTCGTTTTTACTTCGGACCCCGGGAAAAGTGACGCGGCCGCGGCGCTTTGTGCCGAACCAAGGGCGCGGGGTGACGAGAGGGGAATGGGGCGATATCCAGCAGCGGCTATGCACGACCATGTACCGGAAAATTTAAATCAACGAGTAACGTTCAGCAGTCCCATTGTAACGGGAAGAATAGGAGACACGGAAGCGCAGCGCGACAGATACTCCGGAGGTTGAATATCAAATGGGATATGACCGGTGGTGGTTTATTTCTATTCTATATATATATTGTATGTGTGTATATGTAGTTTCGCGCGTCCTCACCACCCACTCCTCTTCTGGACACACCGTTCCCGCGATCTGTGCCCCAAATCTCTCGATTTGTCGCGTCCACGACCTCGAACACATTCGTCGTTTTTCGGCTGAAAACGAGGGGAATCGAACCACTGATAATTATTAATGGTTTGCAAAACGATGGAATAGCTTTATCCCTTAGTCGGCGAACCACTCGAAAGTAGGACGTTCGCTGTGAATGATATTCTTTGTTAAAACTAGAACTATGAAACCCGTCAAAATTACGGATTGCAGATTTCTTATTTTATTCTTAATAGTTAAAAGAACATTCAATTGTTCGCATACATTTGATAGACTGTAAGAACTATCACAGAAGAAACGTAAATAATCATTTCTGCTCAAGTATGTTCAAAGGATCAAACTTTTAATCGATTCTTACAGAAGGAATTTGTGATTAAAATTGTGGCGCATTTGCATCCCCCGATTTCCTACCTCCATCGTTCACCCCGTTCTGTGTTTTATTTACCTTTTTTTTTTTTTTGTTTCGGACGATGCATTCGCGTGACGCGATTGCGTGCGAGCTGCATGTTTGGATGCGATCCGTCGAGCACGATAGCGGTCGGAAAAAATAGGGGTCCACGATTTTATCGTTAATGCTTTATGCGTACACGAGGGCGGCGCGATAGCCGACACCGGAAGTGTAATTAGGAGCGGCCCCCTCGGATCGACTGAATCGCCGTGTCGAGTCGAACCAGCCGAGTTGTAATTCGACCGTCTGAGGTCGCGAGGAGAAAATACATCGAAGTGAACACCGTGTTTCATCGAACATACAGTCGAAATTCATTCGATAACATCACACAACAAACCATTCTTTGTTTTTACGTCTAACTATCTCGATAACTTTAATTCGTTCTTCGGGAACCGGAAGTTCGCGAACGGCTCAAGTTAACGATTCCCGTGACTATCGCATCGTGACACAGACTCCGTGAACGGAATCGAAGGGAATCGAAGTTTTCGGAACGCGAACTCACCCCCTCGCGGATGGGCATCCCGGGTAATATGTCTGAAAGGATCATCAATCACGGGTTATCCGAAAACGAACGTAGAGGACGAGGGGAACCCTAGAAAATTGCAGTGCAATATATTATCGCAGGGAAATTGGGAATCGACGCATGCATATTCAACGCGCATTGTTTAGAACGTAAGCGTTGCCTTTAAACCTCGTTTTCATCGATCATTTCGGAGTGCGCCAAAATCGAGCGTGACGGGTTCAATGTAAACGAGAAGACTGATGAAAACGCCCGGGGATATTTATTAATATATTCCAGCTGGCAAACAAACGTTCCCTCTATTTTTTCCCCCTCCTGGTCTCGGTGAGCGTGCGTTAATTACGTTCAGATTTTTTCTTTTCGAAATTCAACGCAATCGGCGATGGGGGTGAACAAAAGTAGTGTCGCGTTAAATCGCTTTTGCGAGTCGCTCGAGGAACGCTGGACTCTATGTTCTTTCTCCTTTCTCCGGTGAGGCGATAGAATTTCCGAAGCGTAGAGAGAGAGAGAGTGAGATCAACCGTTCTCGGTCTGAATTATGCACACAGAGTTTCGAAAGCATCCCCGTGAACGGTGCCGCGCGTTTAACGTTGGAGGCTGTTTAATGCTCGGTTTTCAACGTGCCTGACATGATTACAAATTGACGTTCCCGGGGTACTCGAAACGCCTGTCTCGCCATTCACCGGCCACGCGGTTCCGGTGTTTAAAGTTTCTATTAATTTTGGCGTGAAAAGCTCGTCCCTCCCTCCAGACACCATTGGTGTTCACTTGGCCGATTTCTTTTGTTCAGCCGATTCTACGCGGGCGCTTTTAATATTCTCTCGTTTCACACCCACTTGACGGGTCCGAAAAGAATGTCTCTCTCTCTCTCTCTTTGCATTTAACAGCCAAATGGAGCCGCTCTGTAAATGGTGTTCTTTGTACGCTACGGGAACTTCCACCGTTTCAAATTAACAGCCGAAGGGCCTTTCGTCGCGATACCTTCGCTCGGACAAACGGCAATGCCGCCGCTCGGCCTGTAATAGATACCACGAAAAATGTACGAAAAAAAAAGAAAATCAAAACTGAGAGTTGTATGGTGGCCACACAGCACGGGGATCGATATTCGGCCGCGATCGGCAAAGCGTAGCCAATTTTCAAAAAGTTCGGAAACGAGTCCGCCAACGGGAACAAAAGAATTAATTTCGAAAGGGCGGAAACGGCCGGGTAATTGGCGTGTTCGCTGGAAAATTAATTTATCGTTGGATCACGGGTGAATCGTACGGAAATTCCGAGAGAGGAAATGGCGTATATGTGGTCACCGGGCAGAAAAGAAATGCGGCTCACGTATCTGCGGTTCTATTTTCGCGCGACGACTTTCTTCCCTTCGTCCCGTGCCGTCCTGCCGCCTCTACGTTTTCCACGAAATTAAATGTAAATTTCTATATTATTCCCCGCAATTCCACCGCAATATCGCGCGTTGCCTCTGTGTACTCTCCAAATTATACGCCGGGGTTTTCATACACACCGCGAGACTACGCTAAACACGAACGGTATTATTAAGTCTGCTTTGCAGGGGGGGGAAGTCTACTTCCGGTTCCGACATTTTCCGCGATTCTGATCCGCTGTCGCGATCAGCGGTGGTGTTTAGACGAAGCTACTTTGGAAACTGTAACTCTTGTGTATGGTGAATCGTTAAAATTGACGGGTTTACAAGGTGTTTAACAATATTACAGCATGATTATGAGGTGAAATTAAGTGCACCGTAAAGATGAAGAAGCTGATAACTTTAAAGGCGATTAGAATTTGTTACCGATCGTACGATCGGTTTATAAGTCATTCCAATCTATTTTACTGTAATTCCTTTCCAGGCACAGTCCCTGTGTTGTGGATATGCAATATGGAAAATAAATTTAATAACCAAATTGAATTTTCCTCACGATCAGTTAATAAGATCGAAACTTCCATCTACCAGATACTGCGAGAATAATATGTATACTTAACATTATACATATCATGCGATGGTATTGTTAAACTTTTGTATAAAAAGGGTAAGTACTCCCGTTAATGGTAATAAATTAAATTCATTTGATTCCTATCGTTCACGTTAAAACGGAAGTAAATGATTCATTTTCACACGAGAACAAACATAACGATTCATCGTGGAACTTTTCAAATTCGTCTGCGGTGCAATATTTTTCAGTACGGTTCGAACTACGACTACCGTGACACGCTATCTAAAACAATATAAAAGTGAGGATAAGGTAGCATATGGAAACGGAGAAAATGTTCCGTTCTTGACCGAGACCGCGATACGGAGTCCACTTCTCCGATCCCCCATTCCAGATTCCATCGAAACATCCCCTAAACACCCTCGTAAACGCATTCGAACGAACACACACAGGTACAAAAAGCTTCTCTCCACTGTGTGAAAGCGTGGAGAGAAGAATAAGAATCGGTCTGAGCTCTTCTCTCAAAGGAAATGAAGCCAGCTCGGCGTATACGAAAGACACTTTCGTGCGAGTAGCTGCGGCGTTTCCGGTTCCCCGCGCTTCCGTTCGCCATAAATACTACTTCAATGGCCTGCTGCTGGTGCTACTGCTGTATCGATTGATAGCGATATCTCGCGGCGTGGAACGATATGCAAAATAGAACACGTCGGAGGGGACCGACGAATAAATCGTTCGATTATTTGACCGGCGAATACACCGTTCCCCGGATTCATTGTCGTTTAATTGGACCCGATGGTTTCCGGGATTTCCACGCGACTCTTTCATCGTCGTCGTCCCCTCCCTGTCCCGCAGCTAGTCCCGGGGAAATCGTCCCGTGAATATTAACTGAACCCGCGTCATCGTGGGGTCCGATGGAATTTTTACGCGTCACGGGAATTGAAATGAAATAAGTAAAAAAAAAGAAGGAACAAAAGCGTTCGAAATTGTTTGGAGAACAAAGTCTGGTTGATGATGTTACAGGGTAAAAATCGCGTTGATGTGTCCTTTCGGGACACGGCGAAGATACAGAAGAAAGGAACCGTTGAGCATCGACCACGCCAAAAATTCCGAGAAACTTATGGAATATCGTCGAAGAGAACGGTTCGCGCCCTCGACGTCTCCAGCGATCTCCCTGTCCGTCCCCCCTGGCAATTGCTCGTTTGCGCGACGATAAACGGAACGACTCGCCACTTGGAAATCCCTTTCAACCGGCGGCTGGCTCCCCGTTGTTCGGGGCCGCGTATTTTTCGACGAACGTCGACGAGCTTACCGAATTATCGATTTGGCAGCGGTTCCGGCGAACAGACAGCGAAACGACGTTGACCCATTTTCGGGAGGGGGGACGTAGAAATGCCTCCCTTGTTAAGACTGACGCCCCGGGGCCGAATGTACCGAACGGACGGAGTAGAATGATCCAACTCGAATGGGGAGGAGGGACACTACCCCGACTCCATCAATCCCCGAATGCTTCTACACACCAACGGTAAACACCCTCTGGACAAAACCTCTACGTACCGAAAATGCATGGAGATCCGTTGTAAGATTTACGATTTCGAAATGGAATCACATGATAATGCAGCCCTTTAAAAACATTGAAATATGCGTAAGATATTTAAACAATGCATAAGGCACCTGAAAGTTCATAACCTAAAACGGAGTGTCCTATTCTACCAATCACACTTGTACCCTTTTCACAATAATTATCCGTGCCCATGAAATCCTAGAGAGTTCTAAGACGGTGTCAACAGATTCTAAGGAGATCATAGAAAGTTCTGAAAGGTCTCTAGAGATCTCAGGAGTTCCGTCAAGGTCCCAGAAGGTATTGAAAGTTCCTAGAAGGTAACAAAGAATCCTGGAAAATCGTAAAAATTTCTAGGATTTCTCAAAAGATCCTGTTAGGTTCCTAATCCATTCCTAAAAGCAATATCGATCCCAAACTTCGAGTCACTACTTTATACGCGCCCGTAGTCAATAAATATCTCCGTCGTAAATCGCCCGCAACGATCCATCCGAAGAAGATCGTAAAGAATAATTTACAACCGTTCCTCTTCCGCCAGAAATCGGTAATCCACGGACGGGATCGCGTAGTTCGATCCACAGATTTGAATTAATCCCGATTACGACGTGGGTCCCGGTAATTTCGACGCGGTTACAGGCTCGAGCCGATAGCCCGCGTGGAAACGGCCGCAGCGACCATAATCGGGCTTGTTTTGATTACAGGCTTTCTAAATGCTAACACGGATTCGCACTTACGGTCGCCGGCGAATTACGGTCTGATGGACCAGATCGCGGCGTTGCACTGGGTGCAGGAGAACATCGGCTACTTCGGCGGCGATCCCGGGAACGTGACGTTGATCGGCCACGGAACGGGCGCCGCCTGTGTAAACTTCCTGATGACCAGTCACGCGGTGCCTGACGGTAAGTACCTGGTTTCTTTTCGCTCCTTAACATCAGAAGCCTCTTCTGGTAACAGAGAGACGCAGAAAAGTCAGACAGAGCCTGACTGTGAGCACTTATCCTCTTGTCCCTCCTCGAGAACAAGAGCCTGCTCCACTGGTAGCAGAAACTCTTAATACAGTAAATAATCGATGAATGTTCGAAGGCTCCTCGACACTGAGTGTTTAGACGACATCCCCACCACTGAGGGATGCCCCATGGAACCAGTCAAACGCCCAGTGGTAAGGATGACGTCTGAACATTCAGTGCTCAGGAGCCTACGAACACTCATCGATTATTTACTACATATCTTTTATATTGTAATCTGTGTTCTTGCAAGTTGCATACGGCCATCGTGTGTTCCTATAGACATGTATTTATGTGTATCTCGCACTCTCAACACGATCTTTTCGTAAGCTTGTCCCATTGGAGAAAATTGTTTCTCGGCTTTGAATCGGTATCGAATCACGAGAAAAGAAACGAACAGTTCGGTAAGGTGGAGTCAGCCTCACGGAGCCAAATCAAAGAGGGGTTTATTTCAATACCGAGAGCAGTAAGTACACCGGAGCATGCCAACGGAAATATACATGAAAAATTCAAGACAGGGGGGCAGGGCGGGAGATCAAAAGAATTTCCTCGTCGGACAGAGAGGAGCCGCCGTCGCGCCACCGGGCCAGGCACCTTTAATCGAGTCACGGGTGATTCACCCCTCCAGCAGCGTGTCGGGAACACACGGGACAGGGGTGTGTATTTTATTTCTGTCGTGTGCCGGCCCTTGGAATAATTAACGTTGGGTCACGTTAACCCTTTTAACAGCCGCGTCTAGAAATAACTGGCAGAGGAATATTCGAGATTAAAGCGTTAGATGTAAACGAGGGGTGAATAGAAGCCAGAAGGGTTGGCGGGGGTGGCGTATGGCGATGCACAAAAACTGGATTCCAGCAGACGTACCCGAACCAGTGTCACTTTGCTGAGATTCGTCGACAAAGGGAGTGTCTTGTAGTGCTGAACCTCCTCCGTCACGGTGGATGTCTGCTGAAAATTTAATATTCCACGTTCCGTGGTATTTTAAACAATCGATAAATACACTTTCGAGTTAACGGCTAGATAGAAAAAAGCTGAAGATGGATTACATCGGTGACAGTTATTTTATTCCATCAAAGAGTAAAATATTTAAATTATTCCGTTCGATCTCCGCGCGCGCCCCGTCCCTCGACAGCCCTTGATTCCCCGCGACGCGCATAAATTTCTTTCAAGCGCGCTGCTGCTGCTGTATCGTCGAGCAAAATTAATAACCAAACCCTGGGGTGAAAATCATTTCTCAGCTATTTTTCTTGGCGACGGTCACGTATTAACGGAAACTGTTCCGGGGGTGGGTGGTGTTTCAACGCGCTGAAGACAGATTGATCTTCGAAGGGGTGTGGGGGAAAGCGAGGAAAAACAACAAAGTAATCTGCTCGAGTGTTGGAGCTTATCGTTAACCCGACCGAACGATAATTCATTACAGCTGGAAACTGTCAATGGATGGGGCAGACCAACTGATTCCACGGTAATTTATCGCGTCTGCGAAACCCCCCCCTTCCCCCCCCCCCCCCCCCTGTTAACCCCGTGACTTCATATCGTTCAGAGTGAGTTTACGCTTGACGTCGCGCTCCAATCCAACGCAATCTAGTAACTAATTGTTTTCGATCGTTCCATTTTTGGGAGTACATCGATCACGAAAATTGATATTTTTTATAGAAAAGAATGTGCGATCGTTTCCATTAAAACTTTACGCAATATGACAAGTGACACGCCAGTGACAATGCGATCGATGTGAAATATTGAAAGACAATAGGAAGTTAATTTACAATATACAGAGTGAGGGGGCAGAACGTGGGTGGTACAACCGAACAGGATGTTATTCTACGTGAAAAAATAAGTCAAAAATGTAGAATTAAATTTTTTCGTACCATGCTTCGTTTGGCGAAATTATCGAATTGTAAAATTCATTACAGACTGATTTGAGTGGAATCAACGGAGAGAATTATGTTTAAAAAATTCACTGTTACAATGCCAGGATTCATTCGGACGAACATTTCTGAATGAAACGAACACATATTTAAGATTATACACAACATTGGACTTACTCAGGTGCATTCCGAGTAATCGTCTCGAGCGTCGTCACACGTCCCAGAAAGAGTCGCTCCGAGCCGGTCGTCGGGCCGAGCAACGTCGAGAGGCATTACGAACGGCGAGAAGGCTCGTCTAATGAGACCACCGCAACCGGCAAGTGCCACGCAACGTCGCCATTTGCTTCGTAAAATGCGCCGCTCGTAATTTGCACTGATGGCGGCACCAGATCCGTCGTCCGATGAATGACGGCAATTCTGTGTCCAACCTCTGGGGTTCGTTTTAATGGTAAAACAAATCCCCAACCCTCGTCGACGAATTTTTTCGCATATCTCCCACGTCCACTGATCTTCTCTCGGACACGAAAATTTCGTGTTTTTCACTTTACACACGATGACTGCCAAAAATTCTATTTAACATCGTTTCAGTATTTTTACATCGGATCGATACCACTTTTTCTTCTTCTTCTTACGTCGGAACCAAAGAATCTACGGTAATGTCTTTCGTTGGTTCATTATTTCTCCATCAGACCCATACATTTTCGTCTAGATCAACCACCATACACCTTCGTGTACAATTTATTCGCGTAACGTGCGCCGGCGGTTTCGTGCACTTTTTCCTTTTAATTACTCGATCCCGAACGCGTGCGCGAAGTCGGTCTAAAGACCCAGGGCAGCTTATCAGGCCGAGCTTTTTATACCACTTTTCCGTGATTTATGCGCCGGGCTGAAGCAAGGTATCGATGCGCGATCTTAACGCGTCGGCGGCTCGCTCGAGGAACACGACACCGTTACAAAACTGGTCGAAAAAAAGTATCGCGATAATGTCGTTCGCAATCGTTCGAATCTTCTTCGTCCGAAACGAATCTTGTCACCCTTTAATAACCCATTGGTAGCGGTCTTGAAAGAGTGAAAGGTTACGTATATTTTTGCACCTCTGTACACAAATATAAGGGTTAGGTTAAGTTTGAATGACACGAGGAAGGTTGAAGTTGAATCGAATAAGTAACACTCTGGCCGAGAGATTCCACGCGAACAGACGTACTAACCCGTTTCGAAATGTAAAAGAGAGGTTTAGGTGAGCGTAGAGAAAACCAGAGACCGGTTCAAGAGTGGTGTACCCTTCGGCGGGATCGCGAGCCTGATACCGATACCGTTTGGTCCGCCACATGATAGAGAGTTCCTAACCGCGGGCATTGTCCATTCGGATCCGTCGGGCCGTGTAGATTAAATTCGACGGATTAGATCCACCCATCGGGTGGAGAACGGACGGGTTAAAGGGACGACGAGGCAGAAGGTGCACACACCACGAGGGTTGGTGACGGTGGGGGGATACGATTTCGAGTGGTCGCTCGGGGCAACGTTAACGTCGCGCCGAGGCATTTTCGTAATTGCGATTCGAATGCCACGGATACTTCCGTGAATTGTAAGTTCCGGCAACAGGGTGAGAGGGGGTCCTATTGATAAATTTCACGAAGGGTCGAGGGAGATTAACTACGCCAGATTTATGCGACGTTTCGACAAGCAAGCTCGTCTGATCGGTGAATATTAATCGTTCAACTGTTGCCGACACATGAACATATTCACTGTGATCTACCTCTGTTCGTCTCGATGACTTGTGATCCGTGACAGGGAACCATGTAGAAATGTGCATTGATTGTAGCTCGAGAGCAAAACTCTGCGATGAATCGCACGTAGAAGAAAAATCGCCCGGTACCTTGCGGCGCACAGATGGCGGGGGTGCTCCGAGGAGACTTGGAAGCGAACCGACTCGCGAATTTATCAGCCAATAACGATCTATCTCCGTAGATTTCTCTGCCGACTTTCCCTCCACCCCTCACGATATTCCCTGACGCGGAGGAATCACCCCCAATTCCGGGCGGGACGCTCGACATCGGTACCCGATTCGTCTGGCGAACTCCGGCTGTTCGAACTTTAAACCGTTTCTCCAGGGCCTTCTCTGCGCCCTGCTAGAGTAGGGGGCAAGTCGAGCGTTCCCCGAAGAACCAGTAGGGGGAAATTCGGGCGCGGAAAGGAACCTGGGCGGCTTAAAACTTCCGGCTGGGGAGTGCCGGTAGTTCGACGTTAGACGGCGGATCAAATCGCTCCCTTAACGAGGTCATTTCGCGCGTTTTCTGACCATGAGGCAGGAGTGTATCCCCCCCCCCCTCATCCCACGCGTCGTCGGCGACGAAACGATTTCTTTCTTGGTCGAGTGCCGCCGACTCGAGAGAGGAGGAGGAAAGCACTTGCGGCCCAGACCAACGAGCGTATTCAATAAAACATGAGGGGCCGTGGAATCGATGTTATCGGCCCAGTTTCGCCTCCCTCGATTAACCCTTTCCCACGGGGAATTGTTCGCGACGACGAGTGGCCTCCTCCTCCTCCATCTCTCGCCATCGATCGACCTTTCCTAAGATTGATCAGTTCGGAACCGGTACGTGAGATTAACAGGATTAATCGGGGAGTGATTCCGAGCGACTTGGAGGCGGCGAAGATTCCGGGACAGCAGCGTGAACATCGATCTGAATCACGAATCCTGGGGGCGGGGTTGGGGCAGAGATCGATGCTGGAATTTTCGATTTTGGACATGGTTTATGGAAACTGGAACACACGGGACGATACCGAGATTACCAGTGGCACGAGAATATAAATAATACAATAGAATCGATGCTTTCATATAATTTTCTCGTGAATAAAATCGTCTCTGGAGTTTGTCTAACAGTAGTTTATACTTTTAACTGTAGAATACTTAGAAACACAAACGATTTGAACTACGGAGTATTCATTAAAACATTGTTCTGACTAATGACCAGTCTATACTACTTGGACCGTTTCTGAAGCGCCTCGATCGTTTAATCTTCCAAAGAC